TGTTGTACATTTTATACATTTTTCTTTACTCATTGTATGTGATTTTGTTTTTGCACTTGATAAGTCTTCAGTGTTTGCTATTGTCAGTTTGTTAAAACAGTTTTTAAGTTGTGCATTGTAGTGGTTTATGTTTTGTTTTTGAAATTTTGGGAATATTTTAAGAATCCACTGCTTTTTATCGGTTTAAAACTGCTGACTATTGTATTTTCCTTTCTGAGTTTGCATTATGTTTACTCCAACATTTTGAGTGGAAATATAGTAAGAATATTGTGACAGAATTGTCTTAGTATTCATCAGCTACTGTGGGCGTGATGGAATTACTTTACCGTTACACACTAAATTTATATTGCAGTAATTCTAAACATCATGCTGGATCAATGTGAATCTGTTAAGCAGTGCTAATGTGAATGAAACATTCTAGCTTGACCTGCAAGCAGTAGGTAAAGCCAAGGAAAACATTTTGTTAGAATTCCACGTTTTCTTCAGGTGGAACAGATGTACATATTATAATAAAGTAAATTCAAAGAACTTTTCTTTCAGTGCACCTTGATTCTACAGCCTGTCATTGAGAAATGGCATAAACAGACTTAAATGGTAAAAATGTGGCAACTTAATTCTCAAAACCAGCTAACAATGAACCTAATGTTTCATGTAAAACCCTGGTATCAGAAGGAAATGTGTGAGGAAAATTCCGGGCATTAGAGGGTGCTTGAGAATATGGTAAGGCTTCCAGAGGCCTCCACATATCTAGGTTGCTAAGAAAACACTGAAATGTATTGATACCATATGAGTTGCTCAAGTGTATGCTTCATCATTGAGCTCAAGGTCCCCTTGTGGCCTGTAGCCTTTCATCTGCTCCAGAAATCCCGGGTTAGGACAAATGGCAAGTATGGCCTTCACCAAGGCAAAAGGCGTCATCAACGGGCAGTCCGACACTGGACATGAAGTACCCAATAACAACAGCAGCCGAGCGGGAGACCCCAGTATTACAGTGGACAAGGACCACTCCTTTCTGAGGGACACAAGAGGACAAGAGACTCTAGAAAACAGATGACACAAATCAAGAATTTCACCCAAGTTTTCTTTTCAGGGCACCAGTTGTGTTTCATTGAGTCCCACTAAACAGATAAGTTACTTCATGGTGAAATAAGTAAAAAGGCTCTCAGTGGAAACATCACAGGTCAAAAGGGAAACAAGAGCTTTGCACTTGCCAGCCATAAGCCAGCTGTGTAAATAACTGCAAGTTAAAGGGTAACCTCACGGTGAAAGGTTGAGGGATGGTCTGTAGTTATTTTAGAGCACTGCAATCATAACTACCTTTCTCCCCCCACGTGCAGGGCCGGGTGTCATTTTGACGGTGTAGTTAAAACACTGCAAGAGAGGGAGGTGAGCATTTCCACCTGAATAATGTATTGTGAGAAGTGTACATTATTTAGTGGGAGATCCTTTAGCAGAAAGAGCATAAAGCTCTTGGGCTTCAAGAAAATGGGCTTCAGTAGCTATTCTGATTGTTTGACTGCACCGTGACATAGGCCTAATCCCTTTAATAAATGTAATGTATAAACATCCAGGATAGACAAACACCTGTGATATTCAAGAAAAGCTGTGCACAAGGCGATGAAGTCCTAAAAATCACACCTTACCTCCCTAGAGGCTTGCTCAATGAATTGGAAGCACTCCTGTAGGTAGGACATAATGACAGTGTCTGGGAGGTTTTTGTATATAAACAGGTCGGGAAAGGCATTTTCCACACCATAAGCAAGATTGAGTAAGTGGGAAACTGGACACTGTATGTGGTTAGTAACGGAGTAAGCATGATCATTCATGAGACACATCCATTCCCCATGCCCCCAGAGGTACTTTCCTTAAATTTCCTTAAAGTCCCGAAATCCTGTGCAGCGTCCTGAGAAGCCAAAAAAAAAACATGTGACTCAACAATGTGAAGTGGTTAATTTTTATAAAACGTTAATAAAACTAACGTCAAATTCCAAACTACATACATAATTTTCTTGTTCAGGGCTAAAATACCATGGTGCGAATCCCTAGTGGAAATTTCAGTGGAATTTTCCAGTAGAATAGGCTACTAAAATCAATTAGGCAAACGAGTCTTTCGGTTTGAGTATATGTATTACTTTGTTATAGCTTCCCAGTAGTTGTATTGAATAGATTTACTAGTTAACGTAGCTCACCAGTTAATCTATGCTGAAACCAACTGATAGATGTACAGGAGAATAGTAAAACCTGCGCAGACCAGATGAAGTTCACTGGTTTCTTATAGATCATTTTGTGCGTACTTGCTTTCATATTCTTTGATTTGTCTATTGGACATGTCTAGAAAATCCACTCAGTAATTTTCAAACTTAAACATACAATACAATAAAATACGTGGTAAAGTGCTTTAAAAAATACTAACGCAAAAGGAACGCAGATAACCTCATTTACCTAGCAGCAGGCCAGGTCTGATAAGGCCGACTTGCAGGTCCCAGCTGTTGTCCTCTACATAACCGTAGCCTGTGCTGGGTTGTGCCGTGTCCTCTACTATATGCACGGCGGCACCTTTCTACGTCTCGATTATCCGATTTCCACTGAACGTCATTATCTGTGTGCACTACTTTCTCAAGTTTGTCTTGGAAAATGATTTTATTTCCTGCGCGTTATACAGTATGCATTATATGCATCCAAAACAAGACTCCCCCAAAATAAAACACTCCAATATCTGTCAAACTCAAGTTGTTTCACGTGTGTTGATCTTATTCTATCTACCTGCCTGTAGCCACTCACGTCATTAGCTTCAATTTGACAAATTAGAATGGGCTATTGATCCGAGTGATTCTTTATGACAGCTAAACAACGCCAACCACAGGCTTATGATTCAATATCATTTTAAGTAAGTATCCAGGAAATGCGTATATGGACGCATGGATGAATAGATGAATTGAAGGATGGAGGGAGGGGTGGATTCGATGTTTGCCAGCTGTGATAACAGAAAACAATAGTCATTAGACATAGATAATATCAGTGGCGGTTCTACACGGAGGCCTAGGGAGGCCCGTGCCTCTGTAGACATGTCCCTGGCCACCCCTGTGGCCCCCCTGTGCTGACCAAATAAAAAAGTATGAATTTATTATGATTTTACACACGAGCGCCAAAAGCGGAACTAATGCGACGCATCGTTCTACACGGGTAAATTAGAGCGGCGCACCCAAACACTGTGGTGCTGCTCGGTGAATGGGAGCGCAGCAACAGCTAGAACCACTCTTGGATAGTGGAGCTACGATTAATTTCTTCTGTAGCAAGAGTCGAAGGTAAGCAAAACAATTTCATCTCGTGAGTGACTTGTTGTTCTTGCACATAACCGTGTTACTTTTGTTTTTCACACTGATAATGAAATCAAGTTTGGAAATGGCTGGTCTCGAGATATTTAAAAACTTGGTAACACTTTTATATTTGTTACTTGAATATTTGTACCCTTATCATTTTTTATGGCCCTACCTCTTTTGCACCTGCACTTACTCTTGTACAAAATAAATGTTTGTATGATTTTAAAGTAAAATAAAGTTTATAATCTTTAAATATCATTTGTTGTCATTTTTTAATGTGCCTCTCTGGTTAAACACTGGCCCCTTCTTGGCCCCCCTAGTAAAATTTGTCTAGAACCGCCACTGGATAATATATATTAAATGCATTTTAAAAGAAGTGTCTGCTACCTTATTCAAATATATTTCTTCAGATTATCAGCATTTATACTGTAAATATACTGTATATCAAAATAAATTTTATAAGAGTAACATTTAAAATGTTATTTTTATTTTTTTGTCAGCATTTTGTGAAAAGTGTACAGCCAAGGGCTTAGGTTTCAGGTTTCGACATTCAAATCAGCCCCGAACCGCCCGCCCCCCTAAACACACACGGTATTCCTACAATATTGGTAGGCCATACCCATATCTACGCCGCGGTGTATAGTGTACTTGTGTAGAGGGTCTTGCTGCTCTTAGATACGCGGCGTTGTTAGTGTGAAATGGGCTGACTCATCCTGGTGAAAGTGGAAAGTAAAAATCAAGATTCCCTGAAGCCAATTTTAAGGAAACATATACACAGGCGGTAATGATGGCATAAATTGAACGAATATTAACACTCTCTCATATGTTAGCCAAGACAAGGAAAGGCGGGGCTGCCCTTGAAGGATCTGCGTCAGAGTGCGCCTGCGCGTCGCGTCATGCGAGTGCTGTGAATAAATCACGACACATCTTGGTAAATTACAGGGTTACACCGTGACACCTTTATATCGGTACATCCAGCATCGCAGGCAGGCAAACGGCAACAGAATGTCACGGGCCGCGCTTCAGCCGAGCCAACAGAAGCTGGCGGAGAAGCTGACCATCCTGAACGACCGGGGCATCGGGATGCTCACCCGTGTCTACAACATCAAAAAGGTGGGCTTTCACCGGCGCGTCCCCGGGAAAACGGGAGTCGCACCTCGCCGAGTAGTGACCGATTGGGCACCTTAGACGTGGGTATATGCGCCTGATGACCGGGGACGTGCGTATTTAACGGGAGGCTAATATTAAAATAAGCGACTTGATGATTGTCATGATTAAGCGGTTACACATCGTTGTGTTTATAGCCTGACTAATAGACAAACAGAAGAATAAATAGAAATGCAGTGCGTAATCTACAATATACGGTAAAATGGATAAAGCCCGCCTGCTCTACATTACACGGTAAAATGCTTAAGGTCCGCCTGGTCTGCATAACACGTTAAAAATGCAAATAATATTTAAAAATACATCTGGTATAATGCTTAAAGTCCGTCTAGCCTACGTTATTCGGTAAATGCATAAGGTGCATTAGGTGATCTATGTTATATGCCTATGGTAAAATGCATAAGGTGCGCCTGGTGTATATTTTATTAGATAGTAAAATGTGCAAATACACCTGATTTACATAAATGTTATACGGTAAAATGAATTAAGTGCGCCCTTCTGCTCGCCTTGGAAGGTTTAGCTGTTGCGCAGCCTCACACATTTTGTGTTGTTCTGCTTGGATTCCCTTTTGTGCGCTTCTGCATTATTGAAGAAACTAGCCAAATTCACGAATTTGTTAATGAAACAAACCCTTTCGTGTGTACCAGCAAATAGACTGAAGCGGTCACCCGGTACCGGGGACCCGCCCCCAGTTTTACTTGTGCGTAAAAAGTTTGTACGACGTAAATCGATCCGTGGGCATAAACAGATAAGGACTCCTGCTCTGTAGGATTTGTATAGGCCTAATGTGAATAGCTTTGTACGAATTGTAACTTCTGGCATCGTGATCGATGTTCAGTAAGACGCGTGTGAAATACGATGGTAAATTCTGGATGCTCCTGTTTTGCTTGGGTTAAAGAAAGGCAAGGTAAGTTTTTTATATATATATATATATATATATGGCAATTTATGTTTTACAAAGACTAGCACATTTAAAAAAAATACATTAAAATCATAGTTAAAAAACAAATAATAATAAAATTACATTTATAAAAAAATCCTAAAAGCCGAATTGTTTTTGGAAAGAAGTTTATATTGTACTAATAGTGTATGACTTATTTGATTTAGTTTACTGAAAAGCTGCAGCAAACAGTAATGTTCTAAGATCTGATTTAAATGAGCTAACCGTTTTAGCAGACCACAGATCTTCAGGAAGCTTGTTCCGGAGATGGGGATCATAGAAACTGAATGCAGCTTGATCTTGATTCTGGGAACACTGATAAAACCTTTCCCAGATGACCTCAGGAGTCCTGGTGCTTCACTAATGTTCAAGTAAATCAGAAGTGTTTTTGGGCCCGAGACCATTTAGTGCTTTGTACTCAAGTACACTTTAGCCATTAGTACACTTTGTGCACTATAATGCACAGGAAGCCAGCGCAGTGATTTAAGGACCAGTGTGATATCCTCCACTTTCTTGGTGTCAGTAAGAACTCTGGAAGAATTCTGGATGAGCTGCAGCTGTCTGGTTGATTTTTTTTGCCAATAAATTTAAATAAATGTAATTTAATGTAATTAAATTTAATAAATCTAAATAATTTACTGTGGAACACCTTGCAGTTTTGGCTTTAGAAATTAATGACATATTATTTTAATTTTGTAGACAGTGGTCTCTGTCAAAATTATGGTTTAGTTTGCATGTATCACAGACCACAAAGAGGCATTGCCATAGATAAAATGAGAGGAATTCATGTGGATTAGCCTTTTAGATAAAACTGTGAGGAGGCTGTCATCCGTAACAAAGCACACCGATGATTTGTCCGTTATACCCAACCGTGATGAATCATGTTGTGGGCTCCACCCACAGCCCTCTGTCACTGTGAAACCCAGCTGCAGAATGTCACTGGCTGGTTCACCCACAAACACCTCAGTTTGTTAACCTGGGCTTCTGTACACAGCAGTTTATTCCCCCCTTGGGTGTGTTTCCCAAAAGCAGAGTTGGTAACATAGTTGGAATCATGCAACTGAATGGGTACAACTATATAAGTTGCTAACAGGAGCTTTTGAGAAACTCATCCCTGGTGGGTAAACATAGCAACCAGGATGCTGGCTTTAATTAATAAGCTATAACACATTGGCTAAATGAAACCCCAGGTCCCTGGTGCGGCACAGTGTGGGTCCTGGCCTCCTCCTGCTCACTCCTGCTGCTTCTTCTCTGACCTGAGTGCACATGTACTCTGTTGGCCGCTTGTGTTTATATGTCCTTCTCTCTCTCTCTCTGTTGCAATGCCTCTCCCAGCAAGGACAAGTTTGGAAGGTTTGCACAGTTTTCGCCTTCCCCAAAACTGCACTCCACCCACTCGCCCTGTGATCAGTATCATGCTCCATGACCCCCACCCAATATCTCAGGGGAGTGGCTGTGGCTGGGTGGGGGGACTAACACGGCTCCCTGTGTGTGTTTGGGTCAGCTGTTGCTGCTTTGGAGGGTTGGACAGCTTAACTCCCTGGTACCACTGGGTTCACGGCTTCTTCAGCCACTCAGACTTCCCTGTACACATGCATCGGTGCTACTTGGCGAGTCTCCAGGGCTTCAGAATGGGGTGACTTGGGCATTGGAAAATTTTTATGCCATAGGCATTTTTGTGTTGTGATGGGCCACACAACCCTAAAGTGACCCAGCACTTCAATAAATAATGTGCTAAGGGTTAATTTCCTCTGGTGTCCAATGTAGCATACCACATGATAGGTGCATGCCCAGCATCACATGACCCATGAGAACCATGTAATCATAAATGCCTGTCTATCCAGTGAAGCTGGGCCACCTGACAGGAAGCATTGTGACCGTGCCCCTGCAATGGGTCTGAGCCACATTTCCTCTGCAAGCGACCTTTCTTTCCCTGTTCCCCTAGGCTTGCAGTGACCCTAAAGCAAAGCCCTCCTACCTGGTTGATAGAAACTTGGAGTCTGCCGTCAAGTTCATTGTCCGCAAGTTTCCAGCTGTGGAGACGCGAAACAATAATGTGAGTACTGTCATTTTCAGAGCTCTTTTTAGAAGGTGTCTGTCTCTCACCTTGTGACACTTATTAGTGCTGTATTATGTGGAGCAGGATGGAGAGCATTTGGTCATCACCAGCTGGCACTGTAGTTGCTATGTACTCTGGGAAAGTGGTTTATCAGTATTTTTGTTTGGACTGTATTACCCAGGCCTGCGGCAGACACTGTTATGATGCTCAGTTTGAGTGACCATTGCTGAAATCCATTTTCATGGTAATAATCCTGTTTTCATCACAGCAACACCTTGCCCAGCTGCAGAAAGAGAAGTCTGAGATACTGAAGAACTTGGCTCTCTACTACTTCACCTTTGTGGATGTAATGGAGTTTAAGGTAGGAGCCTGTTATTCCTCTTTCTTTAAATTTTCCATACACAATGTGCTTATACATCCAGATAAAAGTGCATAATTCAATGCAAAAACATTGAAGCTGAAGGTAAGGCAATGACCCCCACATCCAGAGCATGGTGGGGGTCTGCTTATACCAGAGGCCCCTCAGTAATCCACCCCCGTGTCATCCACCAGGACCATGCCTGTGATTTGCTGAACACTATCAACGCCTCCCAAGTCTTTTTTGACATTGTGAGTCCCCCACGGGGTACATTATCATCATGTCATACACTGGTCTGTATATAATCCTCCATGTTTCCAGCTAGCTCATAATGCTTCTCTTTGCAGACTGTTAACTTTGACTTGACTAAGAACTACCTTGACCTGGTGGTGACCTACATCACACTGATGACGCTGCTTTCTCGGATTGAGGAACGCAAAGCCATCATCGGACTCTACAACTACGCACACGACATGACTCATGGGTCCAGGTACTGGTCCAGTTCCTCATGTTTTCAACTGGAAGACTTTCTTTTCTGGATTGTACTCATTTAGTCTAGCTGATTTTCATAAAGTGTCACCAGGATCGGAACCCAGCTATTGCTGCTGCTCGGGCAGAGTGAGGATGCTGTGGGAAGCTGGGGTGTTCACATCATGTGTGCCCCCATTTGGTGAAGCTAATGTTACATGAGGCTTTGCTGTTGCCTGCCGCCCCAGTGATCGCGAGTACCCCAGGCTTGGGCAGATGATCGTGGACTATGAGAATCCCCTAAAGAAGATGATGGAGGAGTTTGTCCCACACAGCAAGGTGAGTTCTGTGCCTCCCCATGGTCCAAAATGCCAGCCTCTTCTAACTCTAACCCTCTAACCCCGAGTCCACCTCCCCCCGCTCCCACTGCAGTCGCTGTCGGACGCCCTCGTGTCCCTGCAGATGGTCTATCCCAGACGCAATCTGTCAGCTGACCAGTGGAGGAATGCTCAGCTGCTGAGCTTGATCAGTGCACCTAGCACCATGCTGAACCCCGCCCAGTCAGACACAGTAAGTGCAGCAAGGCATCCTGTGCTCATCACAAAAGGGTGTTGTCTCCCGACAGAGCACCTTTGTGATGGTTTTCTTCATTTCAGATGCCCTGTGAATATCTGTCTTTGGAGACAATGGAGAAGTGGATTGTGTGTAAGTAGAGGGTGAATCACAGATTGTCCCCATGGTTCGTTCAGTGTGCTCTGTCATTTGAGTAACTCGGTATGTGGTACCCCCCGGTGCCGGGCTCAGTGGGCTTCATTTTGGCCCACACGGCATTGAACAGTGAGCCGGTAGCCCTCAGCTTGTGGAAGTTGGCGCTCCAGAGCAGTTCCTGCCTATGCCTCTTCAGGGACGAGGTCTTCCACATCCACAAGGCCACCGAGGATCTATTTGTTAATATCCGCGGGTATGACCTCTCCCCACCACACACACACACACACACACACACACACACACACAGCACAGTACAGTTACCCTCCTCTGGATTCCTTGCTCTTTTTTCTTCTCTTTCAGCTTCAACAAGCGTATCAATGATATCAGGGAATGCAAAGAGGCAGCATTATCACATGCGTAAGTGTGCCCCCCTACTGGGCACGGTGCAGCTGAACAGAAGTGTGAGTTCCTGGTTGACCTGTGAACTTTCCCTGCACAGGGGTTCCATGCACAGGGAGAGACGGCGGTTCTTGAGGTCTGCGCTAAAAGAACTAGCCACAGTGCTAGCAGACCAGCCGGGACTGCTTGGCCCAAAGGTACTGACCAGAATCTGGAACATTATATCCAGGCTAGAAGCCTGTACGCTGCATATTTGAATACTAGACCTGTAAGTCGGTCCCATTCAGTTCAGTCCCATCAGCATCTCTCAGGGTCATGTTTCCACTCTGTCTGGCCCCATCTCAAGGGGTATTGTTTTCACAAAGTCCAGCCCCATCAGCATCCCTCAGGGTAATGTATCCACTATGTCCGGCTCCGTCAGTGTCTTTCAGGTTAATGCTCCCACTCTGTCCAGCCCTGTCAGCGGCTCTCAGAGTAACATTCCTGCCCTGTCCAGGCGCTGTTTGTCTTCATGGCACTGTCCTTTGCCCGGGATGAGATCATTTGGCTGCTGCGTCATGCTGATAATGTTCAGAAGAAGAACACAGATGACTTCATCGACAAGTAAGAATGGTGACCATGACAAAAAAACACAGCAGGATGGGCATAAGATCTGTTGACCCCCCCCCCCCCGCCCCCCCAAACAGGCATATTGCGGAGCTCATCTTCTATATGGAGGACCTGAGGTTCCACATTCGCAAATACGGCCCGGTGATGCAGCGCTACTACGTGCAGTACCTGTCTGGGTTTGACGCCGTCGTGCTCAATGAGTTGGTGCAGGTGTGTGTTCCCTCCCCGTCCCCCTAATCACAAGCCCCATCAGGTTTGTGTCACAAGATGGAGTATTGCTGATGATGTTGATATGTAATTGTGTGCTTTTGGCTCCTGGCATTCCAGAACCTGTCTGTTTGTCCAGAGGATGAATCCATCATCATGTCCTCGTTTGTGAACACCATGACATCCCTCACCGTGAAACAGGGTACTCCTCCTTTCTGATGGAAGGTTACACCTTCCAGCTCTGGGTCTCCACTAAACAGGGTGACTGTGATGCTGAAAGGATGTAGAGATGTTTCTGAGCTACCTTCTCAGTGCTGTTTGCAGTCAGTTGGTTTCAATTCCGCCCACTTCCAGTTTGAATCATACACACTCCCCTTTTCTCTCCAGTGGAAGATGGCGAGGTGTTTGATTTCAGGGGCATGCGGCTCGACTGGTTCAGATTACAGGTAAGAACTGGGCCTAGGGGCTAGGGAGGGGGGGCTTGTGTATGGCCCTTTGTGGTAGGTCAAAGGGACAAACAAGTTATTCCTTGGCGAGTCCAAACTCGAGTCATTTGCAATCCAAATCGAGTTGTGAGTCATGTAACTTGAGTCCCTGCTTACACTATATTGCCAAATGTATTGGGACACCCCTCCAAATCATTGAATTCAGGTGTTTCAATCACTTCCACAGCCACAGTTGTATAAAATGAAGCACCTAGGCATGCAGACTGCTTCTATAAACATTTGTGAAAGAATGGGTCACTCTCAGGAGCTCAGTGAATTCAAACGTGATACTGTGATAAGATGCCACCTGTGCAATAAATTCATTCGTGAATTTTCCTCGCTATTAACTCTCAGTAGTCTAAGGCCTCTCAGCCACCTTCGGGGTAGTCTGACATGTCTTGACATTATTAAATATTTCACCTATCTAAAAAACATTTATCCCAAAGTGTTACATGTGCTTTTATTCAGCACAAACTCAGCACCAATAATCTGAGACCTCTTAGAATGTTATTGTTCTATTTTTTGTTAAAATCAACTTTAAACATATACTTTTCAAAAACCTATTTCAGATATGCTGAGAAATTGTAAAAAAAAAAAACACATTATAAACATTTCTAGCCAAGACTTTTGAGCTCTGAAGCTTATAGACACAGGGGTTGGCTACACATAGGTGAAAGTGACATTCTGAAATTTTATGTAGTTTGATTACTAAAGTGTTAGTACTTTAGAGTGACACTCTTTTTCTCAAAGTAAGTGGCCTATACAATGAATATTGATGAGATAGGTGTCCCCACATCTGTACTGTAGTAGTTTGCATACTGTCAATGGCCCATCTGTCTGGAGTGTCACTGCACCCCACACCCATCACTTTGGAAAGGCAGTTTGAAACGCAAGAAAAGTAGCAACAATAAAATCCCTTTCACAGTTTATTGATAGATGGAATGAAAAATGAAAAACTGTGACTATATAAATATAGAAAGCGATAAATATGATGAGGGGGGATTATGGTGTGGGGTTGTTTTTCAGGAGTTGGGCTTCCAGTGAAAGGAACTCTTAACCCCCTGGGGCCTGAGGCCTTTTTTCCACTTTCGAGGTAGTCTGACATGCCTTGACATTTTAAAATATTTCACCTATCTAAAAAACACTTATCCCAAAGTGATACATTTGCTTTTATGTTCTTATGTTCTTATGTTCTTATTCAGCACAAACTCAGCACCAATAATCTGAGACCTCTTAGAATGTTATTATTCTATTTTTTGTTAAAATCAACTTTAAACATATACTTTTCAAAAACCTATTTTCAGACATTTTTATAATGTAAAAAATCACATTATAGACATTTCTAGGTAAGACTTTTGAGCTCTGAAGCTTTTAGACACAGGGGTTGGCTACACATTGGTGAAAGTGACATTCAGAAATTTTATATGGTTTGATTACTAAAGTGTTAGAACTTTGGAGTGACACTCTTTTTCTCAAAGTCAGTGGTCTGTGGTCTTCACAATGAATATTGATGAGATAGGTGTCCTCACACCTGTAGTAGTTTGCATACTGTCA